GAAGTGAAGAGGCCATGACATGAAGCTAATTTGATTGACACAACTCGCTACATCACCAAAATTGACAAGTTTTGTTGCTGTACCTATGTATATTTTTGACCCAGCAGATTTGGTGACATTTTCAGCAGACCCATAATAAATTTATGAAAGAACAAAATTTTATGACTGTTTTTTGTGACAAACATGTATGTGTTCCGATCACTCTATCACAGAAAAATAAGAGTTTTAGAACTTATTGAAAACTCAAGACAGCCATAACATTATGTTTTTTTACAAGTGTATGTAAACTTTTGACCACAACTGTACATTAAAAAATACATTTACGTACAGTAAACATGCCCCTGGGTGCTTTTTTTTTGGTCCTAGGACTGTTTTTTTAAGAAGTACATACCCAAAGTTGAGTAAAAAAAACATTTAAAAAGTGAATTTTGCATAATAGGTCCCCTTTAAATAACAGTGAGGGACGCTGTGGAAGAATTAGGCCACGCCCCCCAAATATTAGACTGTATTCCTGTAGAGGGGTGGATTAGGATCGACCATAAAGATGCAAATTGGCTAAAATATGTGGAATTTAGAAGTATGTCAACAGCGTGATGTGTGACTTCGCCACACTGCCATGACCACACCATGACCATACCATGACCACACCATGACCACACCATGACCACGCCATGACCACACCATGACCACACCATGACCACACCATGACCACACCATGACCACGCCATGACCACACCATGACCACACCATGACCACACCATGACCACACCATGACCACGCCATGACCACGCCATGACCACGCCATGACCACACCATGACCACACCATGACCATACCATGACCACACCATGACCATGCCATGACCACACCATGACCACACCATGACCACGCCATGACCATACCATGACCATACCATGACCACACCATGACCATGCCATGACCACGCCTTTCATTAAAAAGTCTGTGCTTGAAAACAAGTGAGATCAACTTATCTGTGTTCCAACACAATTTGTTGCTGATTAGGTCAAGAGGGACAGAGGTGGAGCTTTACAAGCAAAAAAGTTACTTCCTATTGTCAGGGGGCGGGGCTTTGATGATGTCATACAACCACATGGTATGGTCGGGCATTTAACATGGATGACTCATTCCAAGGTTTGGTGTATTTTAGCCTCTCTATGTGGAAGCCACAGCTACATTTTCAAAGGATCAACTTCAGTTAACTGGTTAATGAGTTGGTTTTCCTGTTCAGATGTAAATACCTTCCAGTTTGGAGATCTTTGCTGCCCTGGAGTCCAGCAGCTGAGCCTGCTGGGTCAGTTTCTGCTCGTACTCGACTCTGTCGCTGTTCATCCTCTGAACCATCGAGTCCAGCTCCGCCTGACGAGCAGCAGGACAGGAAACGGATCACACTGGGCTCAGCAGAGGCTCGAGAACCAGAAACAACAAACAGGAAGGATGAAAACTGAGACCGGTCACATCTTTTCTCTTGCGTTTAAGGAGCCAGGATGTTTTCAGCTTTAGAATGAGATCATGTCACCGTGGAAATGTTCTTATTTCCACAAACTTCCTCTGGGAATCACTGTTGGAACCAGTGACTCTATATTACCCAGCATGCTTTTCTTTCTTCTACGTTTCTGTCATGGCTGCCCCCAGCGGTTGCTACATCCTTGTAGCAGGAGGATAGATCTATTCCTAAACCCGCTTTTGATCTGATTATTGTGGCTGGAGCTGGCAAATGACAAGGAGACTGAAGGAGAAAATATGTGTTAGAATCAGAGAGGCTAGTGACTAGCATGGATAAGCTGGTGTTAGCATCGAAGAGGCTAACGACTAGCATACCATATAGTCGGACCTTTAATATTCAGGAGGATTGAGGGTTTAAATATTTTCATATAGAGCAAACAGGAAGTAGTTTGACCTAGATGTTCAAAGTAAAACTCATAAATCCTCTTCAAAATAAGAGTCTGATTCTGTCACAGCTTAGACCGGTACAAATGAGAAGCATGAGTTTGGACCCCCTCCTCCTCCACCTGGTGGTCTTTGCTGATCCGGCTCTCCAGGATCAGGAGGTTCCGGGTCTTCTCCAGCTCCTGGATGGTTTCAGCGTGAGCAGCTCGCAGCTCTCTGACGGAGCTCTCCGTGTCCTCCAGCTCTGACAGGAAGCTTAGATCTCCGCTCTTCTGGGATTTACGTTTCTGCGACAGGATGAGAGTGAAGTCAGAGCGAAACAAATGATGAGGAGTTGAGATTAAATAAAATCTTACTCTGATGAGCAGCAGCGCCTCGGTGAGCTCAGCCACGCTGTACTCTTCCTCCTTTAAAGCACAGAGACAACATCAGGACCTGGTCTCACTCAGGATGTGTTCTGGTTCTGACTGGTTCTCACTTTGCTGTAGAACTCCAGGCGCTTCGTCAGCTCCTCCACTTGCTGCTTCTGCTCCAGAAACTGAATCTGAAGTTTTCGACTCTCTTCTGCCAGCAGCTCGTTTTTATCTGGATGAAGATCAGAGAAACGTTAACTTGTTGCAGTTCAGAACCGGTCCACAGGTCCAGATCCGACTCGTTGACAGACCCCTCTCAGACTTCACTTTGTCCAGGATTTCCTTTTTGTCCACCAGGTCGGCGTTCAGCGCCATCTCCAGCTGAGCGATCTGTAACTTCAGCTGCTGCTCCTGAAGCTTCCACCTCTGCTGCTGGGAGACATCGAAGGCGCTGCGAACAGACACCAGAGTGCAGACTGAGCAAACAGCTGAAGCTGACAGGAGGTTTCCTTTTGATGGAAACAACTGTCAGGTTTCACTGGTTAAACACAGTGGAGCAACTTCACTGCACTTCCTTGTTCTTAGAATGACCCCGCCCCCTTTTGGTCAAAATAAATCTGTGAATCTGCCTGTGACAACATGAAAATAACAGCCTTAAAACTTCACCCTCTCACCTGTTCACCCTCTCACCTGCTCACCCTCTCACCTGTTCAGCAGTCTCTTGTTGTCCTCCTTCAGCAGCTCCCTCTCCTGCTCCAGCTCACTGATCTGTTGCTGCAGCTGTGAGTCAACAGGAAACAGGAAACAGGAAATGTTAAGGAGCGATTCGATGCCTCTGTAACCATGGTAACTGCTCAGCTGATGCAGGTGACTCACCTGCTCCAGGTGAGTCTTGGTCAGGTTCTTTGTCTGCAGCTGTTTGTTCAGCTCCAGACTCTTCAGCCGCTCCTCCTTCAGCTGAGCCGACAGCTCGTCCACCTTCATCATGGCTGCGTCGTGACTCACCTTCAGACTCACCTGAGCCTGGAAGCACAGCTCACCTGGTCACACCTGGATCATCACACCTGCTCTTGCTCAATGTGATCATGGGGGTCTGTCTCACCTCCTGCAGCTGCAGGAAGCGTCCCTCCAGCTCCGTCACAGTGTTGGACCTGCTGTCCAGCTGTTTCTGCTGTTTGATCAGAGACAAGTTCCTGCTCACCTGAGACCTGACAGGAAACAGGTGAGACAGCAGGTGAGACAAGAGACAACAGATGAGACAGGAGACAGGTGAGACAGCAGGTGAGACAGGAGACAACAGGTGAGACAGGAGACAACAGGTGAGACAGGAGACAACAGGTGAGACGGGAGACAGCAGGTGAGACAGGGGACAACAGGTGAGACAGGGGACAACAGGTGAGACAGGAGACAGCAGGTGAGACAGGAAACAACAGGTGAGACAGGAGACAGCAGGTGAGACAGGAGACAGCAGGTGAGACAGGAAACAACAGGTGAGACAAGAGACAGCAGGTGAGACAGGAAACAGCAGGTGAGACAGGAAACAACAGGTGAGACAGGAAACAACAGGTGAGACAGGAAACAACAGGTGAGACAGGAAACAGCAGGTGAGACAGGAAACAACAGGTGAGACAGGAGACAGCAGGTGAGACAGGAAACAGCAGGTGAGACAGGAAACAGCAGGTGAGACAGGAGACAGGTGAGACAACAGGTGAGACGATTGTTTACAGCTGGGAGCTCCAGACGTTCCCTCACACACCTGAGAATGGAGGTGTGCTGCTGTCGCTGCTTCTCAAGCTCCGCCTCCTTCTTTATCAGCTCCTCCCTCAGCTGCTCTGACTCTCCTTCCAGCTCCTCCACTCTGCTCCTCTGAGATTCCACCATGTTCTCCCTGGAACCAAAACAAACCATTTCATCCAGAACTTTACAGAACTTTACAGAACCGTTCAGCTGATCTGAACGCTGACTCAGGATAAATCTGCTCAGATCAGAACTTACAGGTTCCGGATCTCGGCCCGGGCCTCCTCCAGCAGACTGTGACCGTATCGAGGCAGCTGACCCGTCTGAGGTCTTCCAGCTTCATCTGAGTTCCTCAGACCTGCAGGAGACAAAGTCCTGAGTCCAGAAAGAACACGGGTCCTGTCCTGAACTCTCTGAGTCCAAACGGTGACTCTGTGGTTCTGTGGAGCCCTGAGGACTGGACGTGGACGGTGTGGACTCACCTCTGGGACGTGTTGGAGACGGGGAGGACATGTCGTCTCTGAGCTTCTTCAGGCCCGAGTTGACCCGGGGCAGGACGCGTTCGTACGGCGCCGGCCTGCGGCTCTGTGAGCTGAGGAGCTGCTGCTTTGCCACCAGGAGGCGCTGTTTCAGCCCCTCTTTGTCCGCCTGCAGCCCCCGCACTTTGTCCTGCAGCTCCTCCAGCATCTCCTCCATCTCCACGTCTCGCAGCCTGGAGGGCGGCTGGACCCCGCCTGCAGCCAGCTGCTCCATCCGCCCCCGGTCCTTCACCAGCCGCATCAGCTTGGTGCCCAACCTGGAGGAGGGCTCAAAGGTCAGAGTCAGACTGGCAGCTGAGAGGGACAGGGGCGGTTCTAGGGGCGGGGCTACAGGGGCATTGGCCCCAGCTGAAATCTGACTGGCCCCCTGAAGTGCCCCTGTCCTGTCACTCATCTGTCCTTTACCTGGGAGTGATGATGGTGGATGCAGTTCCATGTTCAAACACTAGAGGCGCTAATGAGTCAAATAGTAAAGTTCAGAATGAATCAAGCTGACAGAATTCTTCTTCTCTTCTTAAAATGTCAACAATCCTGCAGAAAGAAGTCTTTCAACTGACAAACGATGGCTGGATTTTCTCACATGTTGTGTGTTTGAACATATTTTATCTATGTTCAGTAAAATGTGTGAAAACCTGGTGAGAGTTTACTGTGCAAACGTTTGGTACCACTTTACAATAAGGCTCCCCTTATAGATGATTTATAAAGAGTTTATAGAGAGATTATTAATTCATTTGTAAGTTTACTCTTCATAAATCAGTAATAAATGAAACTGGACAGTTTTGTCTCTTTCTCGTCCTTAATTATTGCACAATAAACACTTATTAATAATTTTTAAAGTGTTTACAGATTGATTAATAACCTATTTATAAACTCTTTAAAAGCCATCTATAAGGGGAGTCTTATTGTAAAGTGGGTTTTTTTAAATTACATTACAAGTGTTTGAAGTGTAAAATGTATACACTGGGAGTTTGTGTGAAAGGATGTTGAACAAAGACTTGGCCCCTCTATGAATATTGTGGCCCCTTGATGGCCCCTGACTCAGAAAAACCCTAGAACTGCCCCTGGAGAAGGAGCTCATTAATGTTACATCTTTCATTTCAGAAAAAACTTCAGTGAAATAAATTATACTTCTGTGAAAAAAGTGAGTGAGCTCTGAATGACAGCTGAGCCGTGTGTGTGTGTGTGTGTGTGTGTGTGTGTGTGTGTGTGTGTGTGTGTGTGTGTGTGTGTGTG